ATAAAACTTAATGTTCTTCCGCATTAATTTGTTTTGACTTTTTGACAGCAATAAAATATAGCTTAACTGTCGAAGTAGCAAAATTGTTGTTAAAAGAGACTTTTTTTACTTCAAAAGTCTCTTTTGACTATGAGATAAGGATATATATATATATATATATATATATATATATATATATATATATATATATATATATATATATATATATATATATATATATATATATATATATATATATACATATACATACATACATACATACATACATACATACATACATACATACATACATACATACATACAAAAGCTATTAAATTATTAAATTATTATCCTTATGAGCCTCCAAATCCTGTGCACGGCCCTGTATTTAAGCATATAAATTATATATGTATATATATAAACTTACCCTTTGTGGTAAATAATGGTACTCAGCTACTCTATAACATCTAGCAAGACGAGAAAATTAAGTACAGATTATGTCAAGTTGCATTAATTATACGAGAAAACTAATTAAGTTCATAGTTTTTAAAAAGCAAAAAATGCAAATTAAAAAACTAGAATGTTTTTAAAAATGTACTAAATTAATTGCCTGGCAACTGCTGGTTACTTAAACTTAAGTAAGAATTGCTAATCATGTAAAATTTTATAATTCCCTTCCATTCCGCCTTTACTGTTTCCAAAATCTAGTGGTTGTAAAAAATGACTTGTGTGAGCTGGCAATTGTAATAAAACTATTTTGTTTGATTCAGATAATCTTTTTAATTCAAAATTTTTTCAAATGCATAGCCGTCTAAAAATAGAATTTTAGATCCTTGAAATTTGTTTGTGTGAACTAAAAAAATTGAATAAAACCATTCTATAAAATTTTTGCTTTTCATCCAACCTGGATGCTGTTAGAATAATAAACATCACAAGCACTACCGTGAACTTAGGCTTTCATCAAATTTCGACCTTTGTAAATGACTTGATAACGTAAGAAATTTCCAAAAGTAAATTAAAGTAAATGCCTTTTAAGCTACATTTATAGTATAAATTATTAATATCTCGACAATTAAGCTACATTTTATTGTCGTCAAAATGTCAAAGCGATTAAGTTAATGCGGAAGTACATTAATTTTTATTGTTTTTAAAAAAAAAGCGCAATAATAATGACTAGAAAGTTTTTTTAAATTAATGGTTTTTTTGTTTTATTAAAATATATTTTTAAAACATGCGCAGAGTGTTGCTACATCAGCTATTTTATAGCCTGCTGCTCCAAGGGAGTGTTGCTACATGGACTATCTTATAGCCTGATTCACAAGGGAGTGCTGCTACATCGACTGACAAATAGCCTGACTCGCAACAGAGTGCTGCTACATCAACTCAGAGTTTGGTTTGGGCAGGCAGTCTATCATTTAAGGAAAAAAAAAAAATTTCAGTTTTTAAACTTTTTTTTGGTCTCGTTTATTAACGCTCTCTTTAAAACTACAGTTTATGGGTAAAACTTTCTGACTACCATGCAAGACTACGTATATATATATATATATATATATATATATATATATATATATATATATATATATATATATATATATATATATATATATATATATACATATATATACACACATATACACACAGTGTTTTACAGGAAGACGTGCAAGCGCGTCATTATATGACCAGACATATCAACATTTTGCTTTGACAATTTGACTGTGGCTGTTTCAAAAAACATTTAAAAAACGCGCTGAATAAAAATATTACAATTTACTGGTTATGATTTTTTTAAAAGTATTATTGATGGTTTTATATAATTTTTAAAATTTGTATTATATAAATTATTTAAGTATGCATTTTTTTAAATAAACGTTATTAAAAAATATAAAATTTATTTTGTTTTCATAGATGATGCCTTTTTAGGACAACAAAAGTCTTTTTAACGAGTTTTTAAGAATCTTTGAAGTTAAAAAGATAAAAAAATTTATTTAAAAAAGATAAAAAAAAATTTCTTTGAAAATAAAAGACAAATGCTTTTGCAAGCCGTTACAATTAAATAAGCTTGATCTTTAATGCTTTTATATTATTGGAGTGCTTTTTAATAAAATAAAAAAACACTTCTAATTTTTATATTATATATTAATAAACTGTTTTTTTGTTTTGTTTTTTTATTTGTGCTAATATGTATTTATTTGTGCTAATATGATAAATGTTAATATTTTGAAACCAATTTAACTAAAAAATGAAGTACAAATGTTAAAACAAAGAATGAAATGGTTTTTTAATGTGTAATTATTTACTAGTTTACATTTACATGGAAACTGATATTTTTAAATTAGTAAAAAAATCACTATAGTTTAAATTAAGCGCGAGTATTATTTTTAACAATCATTAAAAGTAAATTGTTCTTTTTATTTCAAGAGTTTCCGATAATATTATATAAACGTTAATAAAGATAAAAAATTATTCCGAACATAATTAAAAACATAATTTAAATAAACTAAGCACTTTAGTTTGTTGAGTTTTGTTTTAGTTTAGGTTTTTTTTTATTTTCTCTTTCATTAAGATTTTTTTTTTCTTTCTTAAATTGAAGTTTTTTTTTAGATAAGTTTGAGTAAATTTTTTTAGTGCATTTTTAAATTTTGAAAACATGTTAAAAGCAGTGGTCAAATCGTCAAAACAAAGTATTTTTTGAGTGGTTATATAATTGCGTGCAATCATACGTCTTCCTGTGAAACACTGATATCTGATTGATATATATATATATATATATATATATATATATATATATATATATATATATATATATATATATATATATATATATATATATATGTATATATATATATGTATATATATATGTATATATATATATATATATATATGTATATATATATATATACACACATACATACATACATACATACATATATAAATTCAGCATTAGACGCACACAGATAAAAAAAAAGGGAGTTTCGATGCTTTAGTACATACATACATACATACATACATACATACATACATACATACATACATACATACATATATATATATATATATATATATATATATATATATATATATATATATATATATATATACACATACATACATACATACATACATATATATAATACCATTACCAAGATTACCATAAAGGTAATGTGACAACCATTTCTTAATAAATCCACTTTCTACTAATCTACAGTTAAATTCGGGGTTTTATTTCAGAGTTTTATTTTTCAAATTTTTAATTCAAATTTTTTTCTATGTAACTTACTTCGCCTGCATAATATAAAATAGGTTGTACTGGGTTACAATTTATCAGCAGCAGGGTATCCTGATCTGAAATTATGTATATATACACACATATACAAACATATTTAAAATTAAAAAAAAAAATCATGTTATGTTGATTTAGTACAACACATGAAGCAGAATATTCGAACATCACCTAACACACCTCAATTGGAAAGAAGTGATAATACACGCCAGATGCAGTCTGGATCACTTGTAACAAAAACCTTTGAGTCACCATCTACAAGTGTGGCAGATATTTATAATCAAGCTGCTAATGAAGTGCGCGGAAATGGAGTTGCAGTTGCTGATACTAACTCCAAGCCTCACAAGTAAGTTTTGAAATAAAGCTATTAACAGCTAAAATAACCTAAAATGCAATTAATAACTTTTTGTATGAGTTAAAGAGTCTGCATATTATATTTCTTAATTTGTACACAAATGTTTAATTTATACACAAATGTTTAATTTGTGTGTAAAAAGCAAGAAATATAAAGTAAAATAACTTTAAAATGAACAAAATCTATACATTAGAGTTTCCCTTATTAGTAAAAAATTTCATGTTATTTACTACAGTAATATAAACTTTTTTAAATAATATTAACCTGTCTAAATTTAAAGATGCAAAATTCAATTTTTTTACTAATGCACAGTGGAATGTAGCCAAAATTTAATTTTTATTTTTTTTAGTTTAGCTTTTTCAGTCTTCTCCGTTTAGCCAGCACTTTCATGCTTAAGTCTTTTCGCACTCGTCCACACGTCCGCAAAAACTTTGGCAAGCGCATAAAAAAACACTTTCCAAAATAGAATAAAAGTATTTTGTTTTAAATTGCAATAAAACTCTTTTGTTGATTTGTTCAACTTTTATGAAAAAATTTTATGAAAAATTTTTAAATATCTTATATAGTATTTATTCAAAACATTTTTTTCGCTATTTTTATTTTAATTGAAATTAGAAAAAAAAAAGAATTTTTAAAATCGCTCAGGCTGACTTAAAAATGACCATCCTGTCAGCGCTTTCTTGTGTGCTGGGATTAAATTTTAAATAGAGAACACTGCTTTTTTAATTTAGGTGGGTTCAAAAGCGAGTTTAATATAAATATATTAAGTTCCTAAAAAATTTTTAGTTTAGGTTTTTTTAAAAAATAATGAATGTATGACCAAAATATGAAAAATCTGGATGTGCCAAAATGTGAAAAAATATTGAAAAATAGTTTAGTACTTTAAAATAGTATAATAGAAAATTAGTATAGTACTTAAGTGGACCTGGAAAACTGATTTACAACTGTTTAAAGAGTAGTCTCAGCATTTATTAATGCTAAATGTGCTCTAGAAAAATTTTGTAAAAGATGTAGCTGCACCTTTTGGCTCTTTTTTGAAATAATTTTTATAAGTGTTGTTAGGTCTTTGTAAAATGTCTTTTCTGCATCTGTAATGTGTGGTGGATCCAGGATTTTTAATGTTTTAGATATGACAAGTTAAGACATTGTCAAAACTCCAAATTAATATACGTTCATGCTAATGTCAAATGAGAATCTTTTGCAAAAAAATATGGTAAATCTGTTGGAAATACTCTAAGAGATTTACAGCCGTTAGCCCAAATGTAATTAGTTAATAAAATAGTTTACTATTTTTTGCTAAATTCCAATTTATCTTTAGTCGTTAGAATGTTATGACCATGTCAAATTTACAAACCCCTCATTATGATGGGGATGAAAACTTTACGTGTTCAAAAACATTCGAACACTAAGTAATAATCAAATGAAATTTGGAACATGATGATAAATTTGAATATAGTATAAGATCTTAAACTAAAATATTTTAACAACTCACCATCCTTGCATTTAGGCTAGGCAGTGATTTTTTTGGTATATTTTTGTTCATAGACTCATCAAATCCAATTTTTTTTGTTCATAGACTCATCAGATCCAATTTTTTTTGTTCATAGACTCATCAATTTAAAATAACTTAAAATAATCGAAAATATTCATTAAAAAAACAACAACTTATTTATTGTAATTTTTTCAAGTTGCTCTTCCCTTTAAATAATATTGAGAACCTATTTATTTAAGCTATCAGTAATTACTATCAGTAATTTTTTATCAGATTATTTTAGATTAATTTAATTTTAAGCAATATTTACAGTTAGAACCAAACTCCCTCCCCCGAGAAAAAAATCTTATGAGCCCCTATCCTTAGTTTCTCTGAAAAACAGTTCAAAATCATGTGAAACAAAATACATACTTTGCTCTATGAATTTTTTTGAAAACAATACAAACTTTATGCAGGCATTAAAAAAATATTTTTGGACACCTTGTATGTAACCCTCCCACTGTGCAATAGGAACAGATGGTATAATTTAACAAATACAGATTATAAGTAGGGGAGAGTAGGGCACCATGATACATAGGGCACCATAAAACATTGTAATTGTGGAGGGATCTTAAAAACTGTGCCGACCACTTTTATATGGTAAAATAGTTACTACTAGAGCTTATTCAGTTTGTCTATTGGTAAGTGGCTTTATTTTGTAAACTAGAATCCATAGGCTCTTTACTTTGTCATGCAAAATCATTGAAAAAAAAAGTTGATACTAAAAAAGCAATTGTTTTCTATTAGCAAGTGTGGACTAACTTGATACAGCATTTTATACCATAGTCTCATAAGTTCAATTTATAAATTGAATATTTCTAGGTATAAACTTATTCTACAAAATAAACAAATCACTTAAAAAAGATGTATTAAAAAAATTGTTAAGAATGAAAAACCAAAATTTTATTATATTTTTTCACTCTCCCCTAGGGGTTCCTGGATAATAATAATTATTTGGCTATGTTTCTGTATTTGGTATCTGGCCAGATAATAAAATCATCTGGTTGGTTATATCACATGTTTCATGTTTTTTTAAAATGACATAAAAACTCTTAACTAATTCTGCAGCCCTAATGTTTCACAATTAAAGTATTTGATAAATCCAAAAGAATGAAAGAATCTCTAAATTCCCTCATTTGTCAATTTCCAAATTCTTGTTACTAAATGAGTTATAAAATAAGAATTTAAAACGTTTTTACCTTATAAATAATTTGATGAGGGAGATTTTCTATAAATTTTACAATTATGTTTTTAAGGTTAATAATAACTGAAGTTCTAACAACAGATAAATTTTTTAATTTTTTACACTTAATAATATAAATTAAATAAAGCTTGCAGTTTACAAAAAAATTAAATTAAGCAATTAATTCTATATAACTAATTATATAATATAGGTATAGTATAGTGTAGGTTTAATTGTAAATAATAAAAATGTAGTGTAATTTTAAGAATATTTTCAACCATCTTGTTTATTAGGCACCTTAGAGTGTATATACAATTAATTTTGGTACCTCTTCCAATACTAATGTATTCAAGTAGGTACCAGGACGTCTCTTGGAGGTACTTATATTGTTAAGACATATATCTCTATCTAAAATAATTATTAAGACCATAATTAACAATCCACTCTATTATTTCAAAATTCCTTCAAAATTTCATATGTATTTGATTAAAACTTTGCACCTTTTTGCAAACTATTTATAATTATTGAAGATTTTTTTATTTAAATTGTTATAAATATTTGAAAAATTTGCGTAATATGTAATAGAAAAATGAGTATCTTATTTAACTACAATATTTCAGCAATAAAGCAATCAAATTGACTGGAAAAATTATTTATAATATAGCAAAATGTAAAATCTTAGTAATTAATGAAAAAAACATCTTAAAGAGAGAAACTGCAAAATATTTTAACACCACACATGTCACTTTTAGCAGAATAATTAGCCGATATTAAAGATACAATACAATTCAAAATCTTCCATGTCCTAGAAGACTCAGCATTTCAAATAAAATAAATGAACGTTCACTTATTCACATAGTGAAAAAAGTAGATAACAATAATTATTATCTACTGATCTCAGTTGAAAAGGACAAAAAGCTTCTGGTGCTGTTGCTAATGCTCAAACAATTAGAAGAGTACTACAAATCACAATTACATGTGGCAAGCTGCGAGCAAAAAACCACGCCTATTGATAAAACCAAAAAAAATTGGTGTTTAGCTCATAAAATTTGGTCTATGAGCATGTGGCACAGCATTTTTTTCAGAGATGAAATAAATGTTGAGATCGATTTAAGAAAAAACCGAGTAATGCTGAGAAGAAAGCCACATGAAAAAATGGATCCAAATTGTTCTATGTATAGAACAAAACATGGTAGTTGTAGTATAGGCATCTGGGTCTGCAACTATGAAGGTGTCAGTTGTTTCAAAATAATTGATGGAAGACTTGATTCTCAAAGATATCTACACATATTGGATAATTATTTAATCCTTTGTATTGATATTTTCTCAGAAGACATGGGAATCTTGCAACAAGGTAATGTTCTATACTGCTAAGATTTGCAAACAATTGTTTGAAGTAAACAACATTAAAACCATGTCTTGGCCTGCCAATCTTAATTAAATAGTGAATTTGATACTCGTATGTATCGGCATGAAGTTCACTTAAATCTGACTCGTAGTGGATGCTTAAAAGCATAATTAGTGGATGCTTAAAAGCATAAAATGCTTAAAAGCAAAGAGATTTTCAACAAAACATTCGTTCTTTTTTTTTTTTAATGTTTTATAAGTATTTTTTTTATTAAGGTTTATTAATTTTGTTTTTGTGGTTTGTTTATTTTGGCCACATTTTTTTATTTTTATTTTTTGGATACAAATAAATACTTGTTTTAATTTCAATATTTTAGTTTTGAATTTTTTGAATTTTTATTTGTTTATAATAAATTTATATTGGGATTATTTAATTTGTTTCAATAAAAAAAAAAAACTTGACAAAAATCACTTTTAGTTTATGAAATATTTAATTTCAAACTTATATTTATACTAAAATATTAAGGTGGATTGTTATTAATGGCCAATGTTGTATATGGGTGTTGTTCCAAAGAACTCTTAGCAGAAAACCAATGTATTATATCTATACCAGCATTGATTGACATATTAAAGCTATAGGCATCCTAAAAAGCTATGAATAATTACTGCATTCTTTTAAAATGGTTTTTGGACACTTAAAAAAATAACAGTTCTCTAGGCTATCTTGTTTTTTTAATTTTAAAATTACAGTTTTCTTATAAAATCATATATGATTTATAAATTAAATATTTTTTGTTTTTAATTTTAAATGTATATACAGATCAGGAGATTTATCAATTTTTATGACACAACTACTAAACAAAATTACTCTATAAGTTTTATATGACAGTTTTTCTTACTTGCACCTCCTTCCTCATAAATTCATGCACATAACAGAGATTAAGACAAACTTGTTTTGTGCTAATAAATAAAAATGCAAAAACAGTATAGTGACTATTGATATATTGCTAAATTATTCATAAAAACAAAATGTAATCATAAAAATACATCAAGATGAAATCTACATGAATTTTTCCAGATTATGTTTAACTACTTATTCTATCATTCAACCCTCAGAGTTCAACCCTCGGAGTTCAACCCTCAGAGGGTTGGCTAACTGCCGACTTGAAAATGTTTGAGGTCAGCAAAAAATTGCTGACCTCGTTTCTATATTTTATTGTCAGACCTTTGTATCAAATAATTTTTGCCGACCTCATTTTTCACAATTCCAAGGGTTGATCATTATATCATAGTCTGTAATATGCTCTTTGAGGATGTTGATAGATTGAATAAAGTAAACATCAATTTAAGTGTAATATAGTTTTTTACTACCATTATTTTAAATATGTTCTATCAAATTTTAATTTGTAATAAAACTAAAAATCAAGTTCAGTAAACCAAGTAAGAAGTATAGATTTCAATTTTTACTTTAGTCTCTATCAAGCTTTGAACATGAGACCAATGAAATGTCTTGTTTGTTTGAACAGTGTTCATTTTGCAAAACAAGTTTCAAAGTGTAGTGGTAAGACCAAATTTGTATGTTTTTTATTGTTTGTTTTTTAATTTTTTCAAGTCTTGCAAACTTTTAATATATTGATTTTTTTATTTTCTTTCAACAAATATTATTTTTAAACAAAATTTGTTTTAATTTCAAGTACTAGACCAAAAATATAATTAACTATTGTGAATGTTTAATATAACATTGTAAATCTCTTTTGTATCTTTAAAAATGTTAAAAAATGCTAAACAACGTCAAAAAAAATGTTATTTTAAACATGTTATATTGTTATATTATTGTGAATGTTTAATATAACATTGTAAATCTCTTTTGTATCTTTAAAAATGTTTAAAAATGCTAAACAACGTCAAAAAAATTTAATGATCATGCAATGTTATATTTTTTAAGCATTACGTCTTTGGACATCAAAAATATATATAAAGGATAATATGATAAAATAAAATATATAATATGGTAAAATAAAATAATTTAAATGAAATAAAGTTAAAGAGAATAATGATTTCTTTTTATTTTTTTTTATGCAGTAAAACTGTAAAATTTGATATATGTTAAAACATATATCAAGTTTTACAGTTTTACTTTTACTTAAAAATTGCATTGCAGCAACATATCCTTAATTTAAATTTATAGCATTTATTTGCTGTTTTATAAAGTCTTTTATTTGTTAAATAGTGTTAAAACATTTATTGAACAATACGCCTTAGTGGCCAAAGTTGTTAGCTTGCAGCGTTTTTGAAGTGAATCGCCGTTTTTCAAATCCTTACGCTTGCACTAAAGTACAAATAAAATATTCTTTTCAAATACAAATAAATTATTCTTGAAATTCTATAGATAATAAATATATACATAACATATATAAAGGTATTATTTACTTAAACTTAATATTTCTAAAAACATCAAAACACTAGTAGAAATTTTATGGTAGAGATAATTATGTTAATAATGTGCTAAGGTTCAATTCCTAATAAGTTGGGGGTGGTTTTAAAAAGAATTATGGTTTAAAACTTAATAAAAAAGAAATTTAATAACCATGTCTTGCTGCTCCAGAAGGTACTGTTGTGGAGGCAAAAAAAAAAAAAGTTATTTGCAGCTAGCAAAAATTGTATTAATATGATGTCTATGTATGAGGAAAAGGTGCGCATGTTATTTTTTTTCTTACTCTTGAGGCATTTTTTTAGAATGAATTATTTTACTAGAAAATATTAAAGAAAATAAAGAATAATTATAGAAATGATTGATGTGGAATAGATATGTAAAGAAATAGTTAGTTTGGTGAAGATTCATACTTTATGGTTCTGGACAGAATATATAAGGAAAAAATACAGTAAAAGTAAGTGTGTAATAGACTAACATAGACTTTTATTTTTAATGGGTTTGATCAGCTAGTAATAACAATAATAATAAAATTGAAGAAGAAAATAAAAGTGGGTTGTAGTAAAATTGACTGAATAGCTTGCTGTTAAGCCGTTTATAAATAGGCTGATTATTGATAACAAAAGAGATGTTAATGGCTAATAATGGCTATAATTGACCTTTTGTTACATTATCACTAAATAGAAAAAGAGTAAAGGTGTTAAGGCATTTTTGTAAGTCACATTTTAGAGCATCTGATGACTTTAAGTACTCATTTATGAAGTATGTTTTTATCAAGATGATAACATGGCTTAAAGTATTGTAATTTCAATTGTTAAAAATACTTTCAAATAATTCATTTAGTGTAATACTTTTAGATTAGAACCTCACAACAAAATACTAATAGTATCTGTCAATATAAAATATGCAACTGTCACATTGCTCCTATTTATACTAAGATTAGCGTTACTGCATTGGCAGTTAGCACAAAAGCAATTTTTTTCAATTGTGCAATAAAAAACAAAAAATGGCATTGAATTGCAGGCGGGTTTTTAAATAAAAATTGATGCACAATAAATTACCCAGCAATCTGCTCTATAAAAATTACTTCTCAGTTTGTTGGATTTATGGCAAATTATTTTCTCTAAAAGTATTGATGTTTTAGCATAGTGGAAAAACGATGCTAAGGAGCTACCTTTACTTGCTAGCCTTGCAAAAAGGTATTTATGCGTACTAACCTTTGCTTTATCTAAAAGAAACTTTTCCTTGGGTGGCCAAATAGTCACTGATCGGCGGTATAATCTAAATCCAGAGAAGCTTAGAATGATGGTATTTGTCAAAGAAAATTATTATGGTAAATCAAACACTAAGGTCTAAAAGGACATGGCGTCAATTTAGCCAAAGCTTTTTACAAGCTTTTTACATAAAAAACTCCAATAAAAATAAAAATCTTTTGATTAAAAAAGTTTATTGCAAAAAAAATTTTTTAACCTAAAAATGAAAAAAGTGTATTTTTTTGATAGTTGTTTAAAAAACAATTTTAAATAATTATTTTTTTATAAAATGATTGTTATTTTAAAATTTTTATATAATTTTGCTTCTTTTGAGACCTAACATGAAATACTTTTAAAAAACTTTTTTTTATATAATATTAGGGACCTGGTAAGTGTTCAAGGGCCTGGTGCTCCCCCTAAATCTAATAAAAATTTGAAAAAATTTAATGAAGTTGCTTGTGAGAACCAATAAAAGGTTTTAAGAATATGAACAGATCTTTTTTAGAATATAGGGGCAGATTAACAACTTCTAGAAGCTGTTTTAAAATATATAAAATCATATATATATATACATATATATATATATATATATATATATATATATATAATATATATATATATATATATATATATATATATATATATATATATATATATATATATATATATATATATATATATATATATATATATATATATGATTTATACATTTTAAAACAACTTCTAGAAGTTGTTAACATATATATATATATATATATATATATATATATATATATATATATATATATATATATATATATATATATATATATATATATATATATATATATATATATATATTTAAAACAACTTCTAGAAGTTATTAATCTTTTTAACTTTTTTCCATTCTTCTTTCAATAGATAGTCTTTTTAATTTGAACCACTCAACTCTAAATAAAGAAATGTACAATGATATATACCTTTAAGCGTTAAATAAGTTGAAGACCATATTGTAGGAACATCTTGTCCCTTACTATAATACTTTACTATGTAAGAAATATTAAGTCTCCCTTACAATTATTTGTTGAAACTTGTTAAACACACTCTTTTGCTTTCTATTCTTTCATATTCTAATCAATTGGACCTTGTTAACATTTATCTCTTTAATTTTATTTTGGGGTGCAAAATTCGAATTTGGCGTTTGCTTTAATGTTTAACATGTAAATTTCAATTACAAGCTGTTTTTCTTTTTTATGATTTATTATATATATTTGCAAATCACATAAATAGTCTTTTGATGATGACACTTCTTTTTAGATTGAATATGTATGTGTAAAATAGTTTTGCCTGTACAATCTTAAAAATGTTTCATAACACTAGATCTTTTGTGAAAGGACTTTAAAATATGCACTAAAGACAGCAAGTAATGAAGGTTTTTCTTCATAACAACCTTCCATCTCACTGATTTCTTGATAAAATTGTTCACCATGCTCATCATATACATCACACATGTTTTCAGGGGGAAAAATTTAGATAAGAATCCATAAAGTGAAGTTTGAGTGACATATTACAGCTTAGGCTTTCATAGCTTTTTTTATACCATAGCAAACATTTCAAAAAGACAGCTTTGCTACTTTTTGAACTGGTATCAGAGTGTCATTAAAGTGGTGATCAAGTAACAGCTGCCTTACCTGTGGTCCAATGAAAAAACCTTCTTTTACTTTTGTAGAACTCAATTTAGGGAATTTTGTATTCAAAAAGCTTGTTGCATCACAATCTTTGTCAAGTACTTTTACAAACTGTTTGATGAGGCCTAATTTTATATGTAAAAGTGGCGATATAATCTTGTTCGGCAAAACAAGTGGAGGGTTAGCAACAGTCTTTAGTCCAACAGTAAAATCATCTTGCTTAGGCCATACTTTCTCTTTGTAATAACTATGTCTTGCTTGTGAATCCTATAGGCAGAGGAAACAACAGAACTTAGTGTATCTTGCTTGTAGTCCAGTTAAGATTGCAACAATTTTCAGATCAGCACATATAATCCACTGATACTTATTATACTCTATGACATTCAGAATATCTTTCAGATTTTTGCAGGTTTCTTGTATGATCATTAAATATGCAACAGGATGGTAGCTGATTGGCAATGTGTAGCAATACAGCTTTGATGCTTGTTTTTAGAATTCAGTAGAATTGTGTTCTAAGACCAATAATAGAGTGTTCCAATGTCAATAAAAAGACGCAATTATTTGTTTATTTTTTTGTTGTTAGCTGTTTTTTTGGCATCTTTGTGTATTTTTTCAAGTAATCATTTTCTTAGGTACTCAAATTGAATCTGAGTTTGGTATTGGACAAAATGCGGCCTGAACATTTGGATATGATATATTTCCACAGTAAGGATGTGACAAATCAACCAACATGCATACATTTAGCAATTTTTTTTTCAAATAGTATTATGCAATAAATAGTTTTTTATTTATTATTAAAAAAAACAACCTAAAACATGATTACTTTCATCAATAGCATCACTTTAAAATTACTAAGTACGCTTTTTCAATAAAATAATTATATGATATTAAGTTGCTATTATTTTAAAAGAAACCATGCTAAAAAATTACTTTCTCCAAATGATGCTTTTTTGTTTATTTTTCTAATATTGTTAAAGTGAAGTAATGTTTGTTTGTGTACTAAAAAACACTTTTAAAAGTTTTGAAAAGAATTTTTTAGGTTTTGCTGAAATATACACAATCTAATAGAATATGTTGAACTATTTTTATGTTTTACTATTTTTATTTGAATTTAACATTTTAGTAATAATTTGACTTGTTTACTTAAAATACTTAAAATCATATTATTTTTAAAGAAAGAAATGTCAATACAACTTTTGATTTATTTTTAGTTTCCTTTTATTTTAATTTTTAAGTTTTTTTATAAGTAAATAAATTTAACGAACTAAATTAAGAAAGTTCACTATTTAATTATGGATTTATTTATTTAATGGATAATAAATTATTTAAATTAAGAAAATTCACTATTTATTAATGGATAACAGTTTATAATGTTAAGTTATTGCATATTAATTATCATTAATTTGCGTGCACTTTGCAAGTGCGTTATAAATTGTTTTGAAAAAATAAAAAATTGATTAATTTCAATAGGCATCTTTGATATATCTAATAACTCATTAACTAGAATTCAAGTTATTTGAAAATGAAACTCTCTTACAATTTATTAAAAGATTATTCAAATAAAAAAATTATTTGAAAATAAAACTCCCTTATTCAAAATATACCTCTTGCATTAGATGTTGGTCAATAAATAAAGATACAAATGTCAATGTTTATCGAAAAAAAAAAGATGATTTGTTGCGTTTTGTGATTTTGCAATTTGTGATTGTTACCCTGACAGTGTAATCAAAGAGCTTATCAGTATATTACACAATTTATAATCTTTGTAATCAACAACTTTGAAAAGACAATTCATGCTTAAGAATAGTCACCATTACCAATTCTTTATCTTTTGATCAAACTTAGAAACTTGTAAAAGCTTTACTAGAAAGATTGATTTTCATCTTTAGCTTTCAATTTTGGGCATGTGAGAATATGATGCTTCATTCCAGTTCCAGTGTCATACTTGCTATCTACTATGCAGGGTTTGCTAAATAATTTACATACAGCAATCTTTCCTGTATCTTCATTTAGAAGTTTTTATACTTTCTAGGTGTTTTTCTTTTTTTTTTCTTTGTTAAATAGTGGAGCTCTTTCCACTATTGAAATTGTGTAGTTCATAACTTAATAGTTATGAAGCCTTGAACATATTAGTTGTTTAACCAAAAAAGTTAAACACAGCTTCTTTTACAGGTTTTGATATGGTCTCACTATAGTGGCTATTAAGTAAAGAACATGATAAAGTACACAAACTCCTTTATGTACAGCTGTCTACGAACATTTCAGACCAAGATACGGCAAGCACTAGTTTTATAGATACATACTTCCAGCCAACCCAAAAATGACCTTAAACCAAACAACAATATAGAAATCTTTAACTCTTCCTTTTCTCTGTTTTGTAGGATGAGATGTTAACACCTCTGACGTTTTTGTTAAAGAATGTCATAAATCCTTCACATGATACTAAATTGAATGGCAATAAATCAGTGCAAAACCACAATAAGACATCTAAAATTGAAAAAGATAAAGAACTACATGTTGATATCAAATGCAAAGATTGAATTATTAAAGTTGTATTCAGAAGTTACTAAATTCTTTATTAAGTAAAGAGTGCTAAATAAAGTTGCTTATTTTATGTAGTGTTTTAGCACTTATTGCACTTTTTTTCCCCCTTTATAATGACAAGAACAATTTTCCATTTTGTTTAAGCATGTTTTAGGTGCTAAATTCTTTATTTAATTTTTATATATTTTTTGAAATACCTTGTAGAAAATTATCTCAGTAGAAAATTTAAATTGAATAAAATACATTGAGTATTGCTTTTTATAAAATGATTTGGCATGAACATAAGTTATTTAAAGCTTTTAGATGTGCATAAGTTATGCATTTAAGAAATACAGAAAAACTGTTTTTTTATAAACAGTTTATTTTTATGTCTTTTTTTTATCAGCATGAAATTTAAAAATTTTTTAAAACATATTTAGGCCCCAGACTTAAAACATATTTAGGCCCCAGACTTAAAGCCAATGATATTTGTAAACAGTTTTTTTTTCTTTATGTTTTTTTCGACTTAAAATTTTTTACAGTTCAATTAAATTTATTTTTGTTTCAGAGTGCAATGTTGTATGTCATTTGAAATGTGAAAATTCTTTGCAAAATACATGTGGTACTCCAAAAAGCATTTTTGGCAATATGCACCTACACCGAACATCGTTAGTTAATGAGGGGGGAATTGATGACCATTCTACAAGATTTGTTCTACCTAAAATTGAAGGTTGGCTCAAATTTCCCAGAAGGTAAATATAGTACACTTGATAATTATTTTTCACACTTAATTTACTGTTATATATGTGCAGTGCTGGAAAGAACAGCCAATCAACACTCAATGATTGTCTTGTTTTGATCTCCTATTGAGAGATCATAACATCATTTTCAGAAGGTTCTGGCCAATCAAATTTAATCAGTGTGAATTTTTATTGCAAATTTATAATAAAAAATTTAAACACCTTTCAAAACAGAAAGTTAGAATTATTAAGTTAGCAGGTAAAAGTTTTGAGACCATAACAACTTTTTTTCTTCAGTATAAAAAAAGTGTGAAAGTTTAAGATTAAGCAAAAATACCGAGTGTTTTTGATTAGTGGAATAAACACATTTTGAACCTATAATAGGTTTTTATTAAGCGTTAGTGCAAAAGTGTTAAATGAATTGTTATGAATGAATTGAATTTTTTTTTTAATGAAATTTGAGAGATCCACTAATAGTTGTAATCATAATTATAAAATGAAGACAGAAAAAAATACAACAAACAATTATTAATAAGAAATCAGTATCTGATGAACTTTACTTTTTTCTGCTCGGAAAAAAGTAAAGTTCATCAAATCTGATTTGGGTGGTCCGAAATAAAATGCTTAAAAAGCTATAAGGAAAAGTGAACATGTCTATTGAGAGTTAAAAGCTAAATATAATAATTAATATTTTATTATTAGGCTTAAACACAAAAATTGTAACACATAAAATGTTATGAATGCAAAAATTACAAAAAGTAAGTAAAATAATTTGAATAATAAAAAGTTTTTATTTCAGCCAATGTTGATGTAGTAAACAAAATTATTTAATCAAAATAAATTTGCATACAAATGTTTTTTTGATAATGAATAAAAGTAATTTGATAACATCTCAAATATAACTTGTATTTAAATTTGAATATCTTTATTGAATATCCTTTGCACCTAAATTGCATGAGAGATGTTGATATTGTAAAATTATACCTTAAATATAGTAATCATCTATATATATAAATCCAAATCAAAAATTAATATAAAAAATTTTTTTAATGTTATATTTAAACATATTATTCAATAGTTAACTTTCCTTTTTTTATAAAAGCTAAAATATGTTATTATGTTATATAAAACTTGTTACTACATTTATAATGAGCAATTTATATATATATAATATATATATATATATATATATATATATATATATATATATATATATATATATATATATATATATATATATATATATATATATATATATTCGCATATCGCAATTTTGTTTTTTGTTTTTAATTTAGAGCAGTCAAACAGGGTTGGGAACGAAAATGGATTGTACTTGAAAATTCAAAGTTATCAATTTATGATAATGACAATACAATAGGTTCAGATAATTTGTTTTATTTTAATGAGATTTTAGTATTTAGTATTAGTACATATTACTAGTAAATGTACATAATATATTTTAATATGATCATAACATATAGAACTAGCTGAGAATATGCTCGTTTTTTACTAAACACAAGTTTATAATTGTAAGTATAAAATCAGTCCAGGGGGACACCAAAACAGGAATTTAGGCATAACCAAAATAACATAAACTAAACTAAACATAAACTAAAATATAAGCTGCAGTTTTGTAATTTGTTGAGTTTATAATTCTAGAGAAAAACCTTCAACATGTACACAAATGTCTGCATTTACACTAAGCTTTACCATTAATTGAGAATAATGTAAAGCACTGGGAACAGGTGTTGCCATGAGTTCTGAAAATTTTTTTGGTTCTTTACTTAGTAGATATGCTGGTTTAAATATACTTTGCCAAGTTCACTGTTTTTACGTATTTTTTTTTACATAAATGTATTAAGTTTTAATATCTTTAGTTTTGCATAGATTAATGCAACTCGATTCCCATCACTTATGTGCTTTGCCATTCATGTAGCATAGTGTAAATATTTTGCTTATTGAATAATATATAACAACACAATAGTCGCGCTAAAATTTAAAATCAATCAGGTTAAACCTAAGCATGGTCAAATATGAGAAGCATTACATGGTTAAATATGAGTTTATTTGCATGCATGCTTTTAATAAACTCTGTGTTTGTTAAGTGATAAAATCAATCATTACATAGAAACCAAACAAACATTATTGTCAATAAATCAAAAAACTTTGTCAAAAACTTAATAAAAAAATTAGATACCACGTTTTTTATAATTTATTGTTTCTTGAATAAAGGGCTAATAAAAGTTTAAATATAATTAAGTTTTTCATTTAAATCGTTTTTAAGTTGATGTTTTTATTCAATAAAAACATCAACTTAAAAACATCAACTTTTCCAATAAAAAGTGTAACAAAAAAATTTGGTTTAATAAATCGAATTAAACTTCATGTTTAAAATAAGGCTTAAAAACGTTGAAATAAAAAAATTGCTGGTTTTTATTAGCATTTTTATACTGTTTGAAAAAAAAACTAATAAAAAAGAATTAACTAATAATATATTAATTAATAATTATTAGAATTAATAATAATTATTAATTCTTTTTTATTAGTTTTTTTTTCAAACAGTATAAAAATGCAAATATAAGTCAGCAATTTTTTTATTTCAACGTTTTTAAGCCTTGTTTTAAAAATGAAATTTTTATAAACAGAGATAAAAACCAGGCTGTTTTGTTTGAATGAAGAAAAAATTTGAATTAAGGTCTTTTCCCTTTTCAACTTTTCGCTTTAATGACCTTTTAAAAATTTTTCACACAGAGATTTAAAGTAATTTAAATTCAAAAATGCTTTACGTTTAAAGAAAATCTCCGCGCGAAAGAGCAAATCATCTATTCATCTATCTATTCAAAATAAAAAAATTTGTGTGATGTTCTTTATGATAAAAACATTACTTTTAAGAATTGCTAAAAAAAATTCTAAGCTAGAAAAAAATTAATTAAACAACCAAAAAAAAACAAATCGCTAAAAGATTTTTTTTTATGAAAAAACTAATCGCAAAAGTGTAAAAGCAATTGCGATCGCGGTACGCCTAATATGAGCCCTGTAAGACTTTTTTATAGTTCTTAACTATTTAAAACTATTACTTAATAACTTTTTTTTAACGACGTCTTTCAACAATGGAGTTGTTTTTCAGTGATTTCGACAATTGGTTTTGTTAGCATGCATTTATTATTACAATTTAGTGAAAAAGAAAAAAAACATATATTTTTTTTATGCTCTTTCATATGAGATCATATGTTAGGAGCACTTAGGGATCCCTTTAAAAAATGACTTAAGCATCAAAAACTATAAAACACAAAAAACCATTATCGTCACCAAGTTATCTAAATCTATCATTCACTAATATTTGTGGTCTTTGAAATTACTGTTCTTTTGTTGAGTCTTATCTTAAAGTAAAGTTCACCAGACCTACTTGCTCTTTGTGAGACTAATTTGAATTAAAATTGTCTCACCTTTTGATCTTGTGTTGATGGTTATCTACTTTTAATTTTTAAAGGTCCAATAGTCACATGCTTGGCCAGGGTATTTACATTAGTAAGAATTTACCCATTTGTAGGGAAACTAGGTTTAAATCCACTATTCTTTTATTTGCTTTTGTTTAGCACCACTTTACTCAATCACCTTTCTCTTTGTTCTATATTGCTCTCCTTCACCTTAAGACTGCACACTTTTTAATATTATTTCTGATAAAATTGATCGAGTCTTTTCTTTTTAGCCTTCTTCCAATATTGTTGTTGTGTGTGACTTTAATGCTCACCACACATGAAGTGTCAGTGATTTTGCAGGTGTTAAAGCTCACAACTTTTGCCTTTCTCAATCTCTAACACAAGTAATCAATTTTCCAACTTGCTTTCCAGATAATTCGAATCATTTACCTTCTCTACTCTACTAATGTTTTGCTTTTGATCCTAGTCAGTGCTCAGTTTCTCCACATTCACCCTTAAGTGCTACTGATCGCTGTTTGATCTCTTTAAAATTATTATCTCATTCTTGTTCATCGTCAAAATCATCTTATCATCGTACCTCTTACAACTACCTTGACAGAGACTCTTTCCATGATTTTCTTTGTGATGGTACTTGAGTAGATTTCTTTAGACTTCTTGCTGACAAAAATGCCTCTTACATAACTTCTTGAATTCAGGCTGGCATGGAATCTTTTATTCCCTCTTGACAATTCCAAGTCAAGCCTCACTCGTCTCTATGGTTTTCTTCTCATTGTGCTTCTGCAATTTCCAATGGTAACCAATATTTCCATATCTATTGTCAAAAGAATTCTCCAGAAAACTGGTGTCTGTTTACTATTGCTAGAAACCATTGGATAAAGTATCTGTTGTTCCTATTTTCAAAAATTCTGGAGAGTAATTTTACTTGTCTAATTACCATCACATTAGTCTTCTTTCTATAATAAGCTTTTGCTAATAAGCAAGGTTTTTGCTGGGTTTTTTTAATTAACAAACACTTAATTTCTCATCTTGAATCATACTTTCTAATCATCAATATGGGTTTTGATTTTTCTCGTTCTACTACTGATTTGTTAACGGTAATAATTGATAGGTTTTATCATGCATTAGATAGGTATGGAGTGATTAAGGCCATCGCCTTCAAGCCTATTTTTAAAGCCTTTGATAAAGTTTGGCATACTGATCTTCTTATACTTCTCTTCTTATGGTGTACCAGGTAACATCTTTAAGATTTTCGAATTCTTTCTTACTAATTGTAGTATAAAAGTTGTCCTTGATAAACAGCATTCTTCTTCATTACCTGTAACTGAGTTCAAGGGCCCTTCAAGGTTCTATTCTTGGCTCCATACTTTTTTTAATTTACATTAAGGATCTCCCAGGAATTCTCACATCTAAGGTGGCATTGTTTGCTGATGATACTACCATTTATTCTTGTCTTGATAAAAAGCCAACACTCTCTGATTACTTAGAGAGGGTATTTGAGCTTGAAAAGAATCTCAATTCTTCTACAGCATGTAACTCTCAGTGGCTGGTGAACTTTAACTCAGATAAACTCAAGTTTTTTACAGCCAATAATTATCACAACTATCTAAATCTTCCTATATTTATGAACAGTAATGTACTTGATGAGTCTTCTACCCTTTGTCTTCTAGGATTAACTCTTACTTCCAATATTTCTTGTAAACCATATCAAATCAATTGCAAAATTTTTATCTTGCTTGCCACTTTCTTTCTCCGGATTCTATTCTTTATCTCTATAAATCTCAAACCCATCCTTGTATGGAATACTGTTACCATATCTTAAGTGGATCTTCAAATTATAGTTTTGCTTTTTTTTAAAAGGTGCAAAAATGCATTGTAAACATAGTTGGACCTGCTCTTGCAGCCATTCAATGTGACAAACTATTGTCACATTGTTGTAATGTTGCTTCACTTTCTCTTTTCTATAAATACTATAATGGGTGCTAATCTAAAAAGCTAGCATCTCTTGTGCCATCTACTAAAATTTTCCTGTAAATCATCATTTGATTAAGTTTCATCCTTTTACTTTGACTGTTCCTAAATCTTCCTAAAATTCTTATTCGTCTTGCTTTTTTTCTTGAACATCAGTTCTATAGAATTTTCTCTCTTTATTATCTTGCTTCATAAACTTTATCATTTCTCTTCCAGTAACTTTCAACTCTGATAGTGATTGCTTGCTTTTAATTGTTAAAAAAAAAAAAGAAACTTTTTTTTATTTTTGTGTTAAGAATTGGATTAATAAAATCTTGTTAAAATATTTCAAAACAATTCACAATACCGCTTTGTAGAAGTTTGTCCTTAAAGTTGAAATATTTTTTAATTATGATATTGAAATCATTTAAGTGACATTTTTAGTCATAAGTTTGTTTTATTATTGTCAAAATCGCAAATTTTAGGCGTTCTACAGACCAGCACCTTTTAAACAATATTGCTACTAATTTAATAAAGGGTTTATATAATAATTTAATTATATAAATAATTAGTTGTATTATATAGGGTTTCAATAAGTGAATTTTTGATAAAGTTGCAAGTATAACGTAATTGAGACACACAATTGATTAGTCTTGAAAGTTTAAAAACTATTTTTCTTTCCTAAAATTTTCCGTTTTAATCTTGCTGAGAAATGTTAGGATTTGTTGTAACTTTGGCCAAAATAGTTGACTTAATTAGGTTGGTAATTTTATTTTATTGCATGTATTTATGTTGATATAAAATTTAAAATCTTTTATTATTACTATTTTTAAATAAATAAAAAGTAAATTTAAAATTTAATTCATTACAAATAAAATTATTTTGTAAAACTAATTTTTTTTATATTAAAGTTTATTATAACTAAAAATTTTCTTATTTTTATATATTTATATGTTTTTTATATTTATGTATTTTATATGTTTAAATGTTTTAATTATTTTATGCATTCCTTAATTCAAATACAATACTTAGGTGTTGAACCTTTCGATGAAATTGATTTGAGTATTTCTGATGGAGAACTAAATATACACCCAGCTATTCCTACATCCGAGTTAATTTGGTCTAGTAGTGCAGATCTTTTGTACGTTTTTTCTGTTGAATTACTTCCATATACATTGGGAATGATGAGACGAAATTTATATTTTCTTGCACCAACCTTTATTGAAAAACAAAGGTGGGTTGCTCACTTTGAATATATTGCTGACCAAGTTAAACGAAGGTCTCATAAATATGGACATGTAAGTTATCATAAATGTTATTGTTCTTTGTTTTTTTCCTATTATCTGTGCATTATTAGAATACTTTTACCATTTATTTTATTTTAGAGCCTCAATGATGACGTTGTAATGACTTTACATGGAATTAAAAGAATTGATATTAACTGTGCAATAATGTTGTCAGATTCAGTAAGTTTACTGATGTTATGATGTTTGATTGATTATTTTATTAATTAAATTGAATGGTTGATTTGATTCACTGATTGCTTATTTGATTGATTGGTGATAATGATGATGATAATGGTCATCATCATCATCATTATCATCATTGATGATCATTGATGATGATTGACGGGGGTTATTCTAGAAAAATAACTTGGGCAGCGGTACCCCTGTTTTAATTTATTTTAACAAAAATATTTCAAATCACAATGTACACTACAATTCAATGAAATCTAGTGGTTTATTTTCACAATGAATTGTTGTGTACAATAAAATAAAAAAAATGTAATTTAACTAACAAAGTTAATACAACTTAAATACAAAGTATTAAAATACAAAACATTTCATTTACTCATAATAAGTCCACAAATCACAATTCAAAGTTCAAACGTGACTAATGAAATACAAATATTCATATCATCAAAATTCACACGGCTAAAAGAGTTTGCTATATGTCAACATTATTTTTCATTAGTTGTTACACTATTTACCATTCACCTTTACTAGTAAGAAATAATGGCCGGTCAATGGCCAACAACTGCCTGAAAAAACTAAAATTGTTTATTTGACCTCCCTAAATGAATTCTTGTCGGTCATGTTTGACCGGTTGAAAAAAAAGTCAGAATTTTGAAAAACAAGGTTTTGAAAATATTCATGATGTAATTTGGAAAATGTATATACTAAAATTTCATAACATCATTGAAATTTTAAATAAGCGTTTAAATAGTTTTATTGTTTACGGCATGCTACTTTAATTTGTTTCATTGACAAGTTTATGGCGTAAACTACATTTTTTTTTGTTTTTTTTGTTTTGTTTTTTTTTGTTTTATTTAAAGTACTTTTATTTTACTGGGGGTTAATAATCTCTTTTTCATGATTGATTGAAGTTCTTATTTTACTAATGTTTTAATAAAAATATTTAATATATTATTTTTATAATATTATAAAAATATTTATAATACTTGCTGTTTTTTTTTTTTTTTAATTTAATTCACTTTTTTTTTTTCTTTAAATCTTTTATTTATTTTCTTGTAAGTTTTTGCTGCAAATTTAATTAATGAATGAATAATTTAAAATTAAAAATTTTCTATAAAAGGATTCTTAAAAGTATATAGGTTTAGTAAAATCTTGTTTTATGCAACACAAGTATTTTTGTTGTATTATTTGTTTCGCAAAAACATTGTCTTGTTAGTATTAAGTTTAAATAGTAAAAAATTTGTGCACGAGTGTTAATAAAGTTATAAATAACTTATATTTATAACTATTTTTACAGTTTTTTAAATAAGCAAAGATAAAAAAATATTTTATATCTCTGCCTATTATAATCAGAGATAAAACTATTATTTAAAATTTTTGTATGTAACTAAGAACATTTTATCTCTACCATCTGAACTTTTTTTTTTTAAGTTTAATTTTTTCATTTACTTTTTTCGTAGCTTTTTCCAGCCAATGTGAAGCCATTGCAATGAATGAATTATTTTAAAATAAACTTTTAAAATAAATAAAACAAATAATCAGTTGCTAGTTTATTTTTTTTTTTTTTTTTTTTTTTTTTATTAAATTGTAATAGAAACATCAAATGTCAACTCATCTTAATGAAGGCAAATAAAATGAGGCAAACAACACTTTCATTTTTCAATAGCAATTTTTCATATAAAACTTTCTTTTTTTTTTTAATTAAGTAATTAAGTATTCAATTTAAAATTTCTTAATATTTAATAAAATTTGTTTTGATATTTAAAAAAAAAAATTAAACGTTAGATTAATTGGATACTATCAAACTTCTTTTTTTAATTGAATGAAAATCTGTGCGCGCGAGTATAATATTAACAAATTAACAGCAGGTAATTTAAATGTTAGTTGTTTGTAAGTTTAAAATTAGGCGGATATTTTGTTTGACTTTTTTTTCCCATAAATTTTGGGAATTCAGACAAGAAAATATTGATTAAAAAATCATGCAGATATCATACTAAACTGCTTTTGTAAAAAGTTAAATAAAAGTGTATGAATAAAAAGAAAATTAATTTGTTTTCTACTCTGAAACATCTTTTTTTTATTAAATTGCAACTGTAAAAAACTAATTTAAATCTTTTTAAAAGACTAGAAAATAAACAATAAAAACCCCCTAACACTATGCAATATTCCATTGTTTTTTTATAACATCAAAGCAAAGCCACAGGAATATTCTTTGTTCCGGTAGGTAGTAAAATGCTTTAGCACAAAAACCAAAGTTTTCTCATCTGACTTCCCAAAGTTCACGGGAAAATAAAATCAAGCGTCTAGTTTAAAACTAACAAAAATACATTGATTTTATTTAAAATCATTATTTTAAAAAGAATACAAATTCGTTAATTTTTTAAAATTAATGAACTCATATCTTTTGTGTGTTTAGTTTCAATTATGAAGAATTATTATTCAGATGAAAATTTTAACTAAGAAAAAAATAAAATTTTAACCGTCCAAAAAAAAAATTGATCATCAAATTCATGTGTTAGCCGGTGGCTTAAATTCTTATTTTCCACTCTGGATCATCATATAAATCTTAATCAAGCTTCTTTTTTGTAAATTATAAAGAAAGTGGCAAATCTTGTAACATTAGGTCTAATGAGCTCTTTTTTATGTGTGAACTCCTGCATCAAACTTAATGTCCTATGGTGTCCTGCATCAAGCTTAATGTCCTATGGTGTCCTGCATCAAACTTAATGTCCTATGGTATAAATAAAAACTGTTACTACTCTCCCCTATTTGTGTTTAACTAGTCTATTAAATCTACCAAACTATTCATGGAACATTAACAGTATAAAACAATTTAACACTAATGTAATGTTTTTATCATTTAATATTTAAAAAAGAACAGTATTTTTGCATATATAACTTTTGTTTAATTTGATTTATACTAATATTACACTTACTTAGCTTGTCTATATAGTTTTCAACTATTCATTGTTCTCATCTTAATCCTTATATTAGATTTAGTGCTGCAGCTTTTATTGTGTTTTGTTGTTCTGAAAAATCAAGGCTATTATGAGAGATTCTGGGTTTATTAAAATGAACAAACAATTTCATTTTTGAATGAAGAAATTAAAAAACTAACAGAATGTGAAAAAAAATATTTTAATTTTCCATTGTGCAGAAATTAAATAAGACATTGTATTAAAATAAAACTTTGTGTTTTAACCCAACATAATGACATGTTGTTTTTGTACCAATTGTACAACTAATAAGATATTTGGAGTTCTGTAATTAATATTTAACGATTAAAAATAAAAACAATAGTTAACTAATCAGTATTTAGTAATAACTAATAAGTGAATATATTAGCATTAATTAACAGAGCAAATATTAGCATTAGTTAACAATAATTAATATTAGAATTAATTAACATTAATTGATAACAATTTAGCATTTAAATTAATTCTATAATTATTGTTTAAAAATATTTTGTCAACACTTAACACTAATTAACACCAAAGCATTTAATATTAAATACTAATTACCTACCTAACCTACTTCTATTATTGCTAACCTACTTCTAACCTCACCTCTACAAATAAATCAAACTTAATTGTTAGCACATATGAAGTAGTCCACCATGCACTATGGTGGGCTGCCTTTACAGCCATTGCAAAAGCAAGGTGGTTTTTCTGACATACTTCTAAAATTCTTTAGGTATCATTTTTCAAAAATTAATCATAAATACTTAATGAGGGGCTTTATTTTGAACTTTAATATAACTAGTCAGCATTAAAAAAGATAATTACTTAACGATTTATGTACTGAAGCCCCCAGTAGCAGGCTATGTGACAAATATACACACACACACACACATATATAGACCTTGTTATAAGATTTTATTGCATAACGAAAGCGCATAACGCTAATAAATATAACTTTAACACAACTTTTTACATATATATTTACATCATCAAAGTTAAATAGCACATTTGAAAGTACAGCGTTGTAATTAATCTTAAATTTTAAACTGCAATTACTCATGAAATTCTGGGAAAAAATTTTATTTCCTTATAATTTATTTCTTAAAACAATCTTATTTGGTTCTTTATCGCAACTTTATTTATTTTTGAGTATTTAAAGTAATATTTTAAACAAAGATTATAAACAATTTTTTTATACATAGACTTTATCAGTTACTAATTAGATCAGTTACCGATAAGTAAACATACACCATATTGAATTAATAAGAAACTTAAAATTTTTTTAATACATTTGTGAAAAGAATTCTTTTAATCTACTTCTCCCTGTTTTGAAATAAAAAAGTTTTTTATTTGCTTTCACATACTTTAATCTATGAAGGAAAGACATGTTTTACCTATATATATATATATATATATATATATATATATATATATATATATATATATATATATATATATATATATATATATATATATATATATATATATTGAATTCAGTTAATATGGCTGTATATAAACTTTTTGTAAAAATATATATTTGTTTTTATTTTAATATATATTATTCTGTATTTCGTTGATCTATTATAATCAACGTCATCAGGTATAATAAATGAAAGTTGTTTCAAAGAAAATTATTATAAAAACAAACCATTAAAAAGATAACATTAAAAAGAACAGAACAAAATACAAAAAATGTTTATCAAATATTGATATACGTTAAATAATTTAGGAAAAAATGGCCCCCAAGCTTTTGTTTTCATCTTATCACAATAATCCCTATCAACAACTTTTTTGTCACTTCCCAACTCTTATCAAACTTTAGCTCTGTTTATTTCAAGTGATTCTCAAACTTTCCAAACATGATACTTTGGAGCAATAGATATGGTTTTTGCAACTAGTCAAAAGTGTACTGGTTGCATCTTATTAATTTTAATATCTACATGCCTACTTTTGATTGGTTGCATTCTTATTATTTCTACTTTTTTTTTTTTTCAATAGGATCGCTGTTTTCTAAAATTATGATACAGTTTAATGAAGTACATTTTATCAGTTTTTAACTAATTGTAAAAATAACACGTTTTACAACTTATTTGTGTTTTTTATATATATATATATTTTTCATTGTTTTATTTTCTTTCTTTGTTTTTATGCAAGTATTAACTGATATATATCCTAAGACCCAGTAAAGTGTATATACAAATTGAACAGGGTTGGCGTCAACTACATATTTGTATTGGAATTTCTATTTGTATTTGGTAAAAATAGACTAACTTGGTGTATTTGTATATTTGTATTTGATTGAGATGTATTTGTAATTTCATAAACTAACTGAATACCACATGGTTTGTTTTTTTTTTTTTTTTTTTTTTTTTAACACTAAAATAAGATTAAAAACTGTTATTAAGGGATATTTGTTAGATTTGTTTTCATTTTTCTATTTTGAAGTTCATTTTATCAGTTTTGTCTTAAAAAATCTTTACATTTTTTCTTAACCTAAAGCACAAGTATTTGATATTGGAAAATGTCTTATAAATATATTTGTATTTGATCAAATGTGACCCCAAACCTGATATTGAGTAAAGATTTTGGTTTGGGCAGACAATCTTTTAATTGAAAAATAGAAAAAAATAAAGTTTTTTATTTCATTCTAGTCTTGCATTTTATTTCATTCTAGTCTTAATATATATGTGTAATTTTTAAACCCAAAATTTTTTTTTTTTTTTTACTTTTAATTCATTTTGAATTTAAATTAGAGTTTTAAAAATCACATTTAAAGTTTTAAAGACAGTTTTTTTAAACAAAAAACTGAAACTAGTTATTTGAAAGTACTAAAGATTATTGTATATTATTTTTTTATTTTATACTATTTTTTTTAATATTTTATACTTTTTTATTTTTTAATTTTTAATATCTTTTTATATTTTAATATTTTATACTATTTTATAATACTTTTTAATATTTTATAATATTTTATAATATTTTATTTTTAAGTCAAAATAAAGCTTTAATTTTGATTTAAAAACAAAAATTTTAAATCTTCTTGAATTACAATGTTTAGGGTTATATCTTTGGTTGTGAAGATGGCTTGTATGTGATAAACATTCAATCTGAACACAGATCAAACACACCATTACCTATAGTAGGTCTAGGACCTGTTTACCAATTTCAAATAGTTAATGATATTGATACTGTATTTGTAATTGCTGGAAGGGATCGTTTATTCTGCACCATTGAAATTAAAGATCTTCAGAATCGGTTGAAACAGTTAGTTACGGGTTCTCTAATTTCAGCAATTTCTTCTCATCAAATAGAAAAAGTGAAGAACTGTCATCTTTTTAGTGTATTTAAAGTAAGTTTTTTTTTCTTTTTTTTTTTTTTTTTTGTCAGTCTTGAGTACTGTCTTGTACTCTTGACAGTATTCTTACAAGATGTGCAAAAATAAAAACCATAAACATTTTTCTAGATAGATAATGAATACTATGCATGTGCAGCAACAGAACGCAAGCTTGTTATTTTGAAATACCAGAACAATACTCAGTCTTTTGTTTTAAAAAAGGTAACTGTTTTTTAAATATCTTTTTAATAGATCTAAACATCTTTTTACTAGACCAAATATCTTTTTACTAGACCAACAACAATACAAACCCAAACTGATCACATCCTAGCTGAGAATCTAAATATTGCCATTAGCGCCAAAAATCTTATGAATGATATAAAGGAAAAAAAATTGAAAATTTTTACAAAATTACAAAAATAATAACTGCTTAAACAGCCAAATAAAAATATCTGCATTCAAAATATTTGAACTAAACTTAAAATAAAAAATTGAAATGATAAATTATTGTAAAATAAAAAATTAAATATTAAACTAATTAGTAGCAAGTAACTAATGATATTTATAAACAATTATCAATATTAAATATGCTATCTAGAAATACCTAATAACTTAGTAATAAGCTAAGAGAGTTCTATTAATGTACTCTCCATAATTAATTACCAGTAGCAGAATAACCTGACCTAACCCTAACGTAAATTGAAAATAATGCCGGGATCCCAGGAAATCTAGTAATATGGAAAACTACATACAGCAGGGCTCAAATTAATGCAAAAAAATCTAATCGTCAAAAAAAAATTTTTTGAACCCTTACGCTCCCCCTCAGTTTAAAATAGCGAAAGTTACTGTTTTTTAAATTTTAAACTGTAATTTAAAATTTAAGTTAAAGTGCAGTTAAAGTGTAATTAGCAAGTAACGTATTTAATACTATTAATATAATTTTTTTAGTAATTGTTTTTGCTAAACATAAAACTTAAAAAAAAAAAGAAAAGTAAAAAAGTAAGAGTAAAACTGCAAAATATTATTTTAACCACTTTAATTAGTCGTAGAAAACTATTCAACGATAAAATATGTGTTATTTTTAAAGAGTATTTAATTGTTATTGTAACAAGCTATAAAACAACAACAAAAAAAAACTGCAAAGTTGTTTTAAAAACATAAAGAGCTTGAGTTAATGTAAAACAACTTCGTTTTCTGCTATTTTATACAGTTTGTAACCTTAAGATCAAAAAACACGTTTAAAATAAATCGAAGCAAATAAATAAAATTGCTTTAATTAATAAATTAAAACATTATTATCATAAAGCGTCATATTTGCGCAAAAACATGCCTAAAGACCATACAAGTCTATAATCTATAGAACAAACGAGTAAGATCAAAGCAAAAAAACATTAAATATCACATTTTTTATAAATTATCGTTTCTCGATCTAGTGTATGATTAAAAATTTAAGTATAATTATGTTTTTCATGGAAATGGTTTTTAAATTGATGTTTTTGTTCAATTTTTTTATTCAAATTGTTTTGAAATAAAAAGTGAAACAAAAAAATTTGGTTTAATAAATCGAATTATATTTTTTTAAGTTTAAAAATATACTTTAATCATTTTTTTAGAAAAAAATTTCTTTGAACAGAAGTAAAATAATTTATTAAGTTTAATTTAAATTTTTTGTAATTTAAATTTAATTTTTCCAATCACTGGTTTAATATTTGTAATAGAATGTTTCAGCTTTAAAAACTATTTTCAAGAAACAAAATATAATTAACTATAAAACGTTTACAAAATTTACGATTTACGAGAAAAAAAACTTTCTCCTTTGTTTCTTTCCTTTTTTTTCCTCAATCTCCTTCGTTTTTTCAATTTCTTTTAAAATTTTTGAACTTTTTTTCAATTTCAAATTTCATTCGTAAAATAATTTGAATACGAGAATTTTAAAATACTAAAGTTCTTTTGTTTAAATAGATTTCTTTTTAAATAAAATTCCTAAAAACAACTTGGGTATTTATAGAAAAATTGTATTTATAGTTTAATCTTGATATCGTTTTAAATAAAATAAAAAATAAAAAAGTGGTGTTGCATTTTTAATTTTCTATTCTACATTTTTCGCTAAATTAATTTTTACTTAGCTTATATTATGTGTTAACAACATATAAGATATAAAAAGAAACATTTGTATGGCTAATTTTTCAGAGTCTTTGAGTATATCAAGTAAATTAAAATAATTGATAAGTTAATATTTAAGTAACTGTAAGTTACTTAAATATTAACTTATCATCTACTACCCAATAGTTCTGTGTAAAGTTGTATAAATTAACATCGCTCTCCTAAACATGATATCAATTTTTAAAATCTATTCTTCGGATATATAATACATGCAAAATATTATATATATATATATATATATATATTATATAATAAATAATAACATATTATACATTCAAAAATATTATTTTATGAATAGAATTTTCTTCGGACTAGAATCGTAAACGTGGCCGAGTGGATTCTGCCTCCGGCTAGTAAACCTTGGGTTCCTGGTTCGTTTCTCGTTATCGAAAAAGTTATTTTTTTAGTTAGTACACAAAGATTGTTTTTTTGTTGATGCACACTTTTGTGCACCAACTAAATAAAGTTCTGCACTTGAGCCATATAAATTCAAAGCGCAGAGTGTGCACTGCACATACAGCCGTAACAGGCTGTAACTGCTCCGTTAACGGAGTGTACATCGACTAAGTAAGATTTAGGCGTAGTTGATTTTACAATCAACATAGATTTTTTTTTTTTTTTTTAACATCTTTACTTCCAACAAGGCTGCAAGCAACCACTAAATAGTGTTGGAAGTTACTGGAATAGAAAAGATGAAGATTGTAGAGCAAGATAACGGTTGACAGATGACTTAAAAGATTGCAAATTATATGAATCAGGAAAGCAAGATGAAGGAAGCTACATCAACTGAGGGTTTTGGTTTAATCAGATACTCTTTTGATTAAAAGAAAGTCTTCTCTTAAAAAAAATAAAAATGTTTTGTCACAGATTTGATGCCCCCCCCCCCATCCTTTCCCTCGTAACAAATCGTCACAAAATTGCCTACTCTTCCTTCTTCCTCCTTTCCCTAAGCCTGATTTAATTTATGGACAACCCTAAAGCAAAAAAATTACTGGTTTCTATTAGCTTAGTTTAACTAATAGAAAATTTTTTGATAAAAACAAAATATATTTTAATATACTTAAAGTAGTAAAATTATATATAAAACTGTTGATTAACTTAAATTATTTATAGTAAGTTAATTTGGTGCAGCATTTAAAAAAACAAAGATAAAAACTAACTTGTTTTGCTAAAAAAAAAAAAAAAAAAAAAAATTCTCTTTAACGTTTTTTTTTCCTTTTCAATATTTTGCTTTAACGACCTTTTAAAGTATTATTGATTTCCACACAAAGATTTAAAGTTATTTATATTTAAAAGTGCTTTATGTTGAATGAAATGTCCACATAAAAGAGCAAATGATCATTCTATTCGAAAAATAAAATTAGCGTGACGTACTTTATAGCAAAAGCGTTGCTTTTAAGAGTTGCCAAAAAAAAAATAAGCTAAATTAGAAAAAAAGTAAATATACAACTATAACGGAAGAAAAAAAAAACAATCTCATCTCATCTTTTATTAAGCACCTTACATATCTAATCCATACAAAATTAGCATCTGCTAAGGTTGCATCCTTATTGTGCATACCATTTTCTTGTCCCTGTTTTCATTCTCTACCTCTATAAATCTCTTATTCATTTTTGTATGGAATACTGTCATTATATATGGCTTGTTCTTTTAATAAGACCTCTTAATTTTAGATTCAAAATTACATTGTCAAAGTTGTTTAGCCTATTTAGCTACCAAACTTTAGCTTCTGTCCCATTGTCCTATTGTCTCTCTCTCTCTCCCTCTCTCTCTCTCTCTCTCTCTCTCTCTCTCTCTCTATATATATATATATATATATATATATATATATATATATATATATATATACATATGTCCATTGTCTCCTCTTTTTTTTAAAAAAAAACTACCATGGTTTGTGTTTGAATGAAATGACAACACTTGTTTCATTATCTAAAACTCAATCTTATGTGACTAATTCTAAATTTAACTTTTTCATTAAGAATCCTTTTACTGTTCTTTTATGTTAAAAAAAAAATTATCTTTTTTTTTTTACTCAAACATCAAAGCTTTGAAATTCTCTTTTTCTTTGTGGTTTCCTGACTCATACAGTTTACAGTTTTCAAGTGTTCTGTGAACAGCTTTCTTTCTATTTAACTCTTTGCTTTGCTTTCTGTTAATTTCCAAACTCAATTGTGGCTGTTTTACAGACTTGTTAAGAGTGATTTTATTTTTTGTTGTTTTTATTTAAAAAATTCATATAATAAATTTTCTGTCTAAAATTTGATATGGCTGTACTTCTGATATGTACAGAAGCTGCAATAGATATAAATGATACTGGTACTTAAGGAAGTTAACAAATTGTCATAATTAATTTTTTCATTTTTTTTTTTTTTTTTCTGTTAACAGGATGTTACATTACAGTATTTTTGTAAAAATTAAGTGCGAATAGAATTTTTTAGAATATGGATAATTTGAGTTAGGTCATTTGTTTTTATTAATTATTTAAAAGATACTTATTTTCATGTCTGCATTTAAAACTTAGTTCTGATTTTTTATTTAATTAATTTTTTTCATCTGAATGGGTGATTCTTTCATACAAAAAATATATGCTAAATTTTTATGCAAACTTAGCATACATTTTTTAGACATTTAACATTATTTTAAGCACGAGGAGTTTTTAGAAGAGAACAATTTAATTTAAAATTAATTTTTTTTTTCTTTTGGACCCCAAATATATTTTGACAGTATAAAGTATTTTTAGTATTTTTTGTTTAAAAGATTCACCCTCAGTTAAGTTGATATACTGTTTGTCAGGGTTATTTTGTTAGGAAACAATGCATATGTAAATAAAACAAATTTGATAAGCATTTTCCATTCACTTGGCAGCAATTTTAATTTTTTCAATTAAATTATTATTGATTAGAAATTCATTTTTAATGCAAAAAATTTTATAACATAAATACAATAAAAGTAAGCTGCATAAAAAATATAGAAAACATTGATATACATATTAGTAAGCGACCCGGGTTGATATTTGACCAGGGCCGGGTTTGATAAAATATAGCTGGGGCCTGAGCTGTGGTCGGGTTTGTGACCGGGTCTTTATAAACATTTATACATTCTAAAGTTTATTTTTTTTATTCAAAATTCATGTTAATATATGCATGTATAAACATCATTATGATCATTATAATCACGATAAACATCATTATCACCATTATCATCATCATCATCATTATCGTCACTATCATCATTGTCATCATCATCATCAGGCTTTAGCCTTCTTCTTCTATGTTGTTTCTCTAATCATGGTCAATGCTAATCATGCTCATACGAACTTTTATGTTTTATAAATTTTTAACCAAAACTCATTCTTACTCAGTTTCTTATTCAACAAGTTGCATCCTTTT